TAACTCCGCCCACATCCAAGTCGGCCATTTTGATTAGGTCACCAACAGGAAGATCCCAGGCAAGAAAATCCTAATTGCTGCATGGCAGTATAGACATTAATGTAAAGATAGTGAAATTAATCTTGCAAACACTGAATTAAACTCTATACATAATATTATGTTAAAATAGTGGATGTTAAATAGGTTTGGACAATAAGTCCAAACAAGTTTAACCAAAAAATATTTATTTCTCACAATTATGAAGGGTGGAGGGTTAGGGTTAGGGTTAGGTTTAGGGTCAGGGTTAGGGGTTAGGTTTAGGGTTAGGGTTAGGGTTAGGTTTAGGGTTAGGTTTAGGTTTAGGGTCAATGTTAGGTTTAGGGTCAGGGTTAGGGTTAGGGTTAGGGTCAGGTTTAGGGTCAGGGTTAGGGTTAGTACATCGTTTATCTTCCGATTTCGTATAGACAGTAAAGTTTTGTTTCCACCTCAGAGGGCCGCAAGTCACATGACCTAATCAAAATGGCTGACTTGGATATGGGAGGAGTCTGATATCCAACACAGGTTTCCTTTTACAACTCGCCATTCCAACTGGATCCATGTGCTGCGCCGTTAGTGGTGGAAACAGAGCCCCTGTGTGTGTGTGTGTGTGTGTGTGTGTGTGTGTGTGTGTGTGTGTGTGAGTGTGTTGGGGTGCATTGTGTAGCTGGTGGGAGCCGCTCCTCAAACACTGTTTTGGGAAATCTCCGACACTCGCAATTACGCGTCCACTGATCTCACAACCGGTGATTAGAATTAGAGCCGGGCCGTAATAACAGAGCCCGCTGTCCAACATAAAACACACACACAGCTGCCCAGACCCATTGTTCCTCCAGGTGCACAGAAAAGGAGTCTGCAGTCTGTAGGACATCCAAGTCGGCCATTTTGATTAGGTCATGTGACTAGCAGCTTTCTGAGGTGGAAACAAAAGTTTACTGTCTATACGAAATCGGAAGACAAACGATGTCTTAACCCTAAACCTAACCTTAACCCTGACCATAAACC